AAGTAACAAAAGTAAAACATACACTCACCTGCAGTTCTCTCAAACCCTACATGTATGTTGCGGGCCATGAGGTTTAGAAATAAAACCCTGTATGAAAAAGATTTACCAAACTATGTAAATTACCTGTGAGTAGCAGTGATGTAAGATTTGTCATTCTTTTAGTTATCTAGAACACATTTGTAGTATGTAATTGATTACTATGGTATTCACAACTACACTTAGAGTTTAAGCCAACTCATGCAGGCAACTGTGCATGAACTTATTACAACACTAATGCCAATAATGTATATTGTAGAAATTTTATTGTTTCAGAATAAACTATATAAGGAATTAAAAAAACAAGTATATTCACTCAACCAACTATATTATGCACAAAATTTCTTATTCAATTTGAGAAGCAACTGGTTTTCAAAGTTGCCATAGTCAAGCCTTGCATGCAGACGGCTGAAAATCTGCCCAGCACAACTGAAGAGATGCTTGCAAACAGCAGAGGCAGGGAATGGCATGTTCAAACATATAGCTATATCAAGTAGGCTGGGGAAAGACTTGAAAATCTCCATGCCATTAACAGAGCATTACAGGTATGCTTCTTAGTCCCTCTTCCCAAAGCTATGTTGTGACTTCAGAGCTGAGGAGAAATTCATATTGTCAGAAAAGCTGTCAAGCTTCTCTTCAAAGTTTGTTGGGCTGTCCATGTGCACCTCTAGCTGGATGTAATCTAGACCTATGTGAATATATATATATATATATATATATATATCTGTGTGTGTGAATGTTGGTTCCCAACCAGAGGTCCATGGGAGAGAAAGAGTGATGCTTGTGACTTGGCCAGCCACTAGGGGGATAGCAAGCCTGCTAATGTGAACAATGCACGCGATTGGCTGATTTAAATTCCCGCACATGTCTTGCATTTTGACTGGCTGCTACAAACTTGAGTTTTGAGAATAGTAACAAAATGTATAAAATGAAAGGTAGTGAAGTAAAAGTACAAGTAATTATCCTAAAAATTACTTGATTTAAAGTAAAAATATTTGAAAGTATAAATACTTTTTAAAAAATAGATACTGAAAAAAAGTTACCCAAGTACTGTACTCAAGTAAAGTTCGTTACCTTTACACCCCTAATTCTGATCAATATTTATATGCAACCAATTATTTTTCTTTATACTCACTAGTCTAATAATTTTGTATTCTGAAATTGATAATAAAGTTGCATAACAAATAAGTATATGTTGATGTAAATTAACTCACTAGACTGACCATGGTATGCCCATGGTGAGCTATGTCACACATCAGGATTACGTGTGAAATTTGTTGTCATTAGAATTTTTCCTATAAAAGTAGGGCATAAGTTTAATTTAATTTTTTATTTGTATCACATCTAATGTTTATCATTCTTTCTAATAATTTAAGTTTTCATTGTTATTTTTTGTTTAATAGATTGATATTCTGGATCATAGATTTAAAGCTGTTAATTGTCAGTAAAATGAACCTTTCAAAGGTTTGGATAGTTTAGGTGTTTTTTAAATATGATTGCAATCGTAGTAAGAATATAGTACAAAGCAATGTTTCATTATTTTAAGTGTAAGCTTACAGTTACAAAACAGTGGATTAGTTATTTTTGATAACACAACCAACCAATAATTAATCATTGTGACAACTGATTTTAAAATGTAATTGCATATTTTACTTCAGTGTTTTATTTATTTAGGTCATCATCAGAACTGATGATTAGCATTGTTTTCCCTGTGCCATTTCCAAATCAAAAAGCAGGGTGAGTAAAGTACAAGACTTTTTAAATAATAGTTTAAAAAACTACCATGAAATATTCAAAGTATTTATTTCTTTGTGACAACTTAGACTACAGAGGTACAAGTCTTATAGACATAAAACACACTACTTATTGTTTCCCTTTTTTTGTTTTAATCAGTTAAGCTAAAGGATTACAAAGGGAGTTATTGTAGAATAATGTAAGCATTTAAGTCACTTTTTTTATATTTTGTGTATAATATCACATGACATTGAGTAAAACTATAAACTTGGAAGAATAAATTACATAAAGAAGTGAAAATAAGGAATCACTTCATTTTTATGTGGTTTTTCTCTAGCTTTCCTCATTATGTACACACATATGGATAAGTAATGATACCCTGGTGCACACCCTCATGATCCACTTAGTATGGGTGCAAAATTTTAGTTTTCTAGCTTCTTTCCTCTTGGAGCTATGGCAGTAATGTATTCTTTTCTAGGTGGTTTTTTGCTAGCTTGCCTCATTAAATAGTTAAGCACCTGCATTAGTGCACACACATGGATAAGTAATAATATCAAGGTGCACACCCTTGTGGTCCAATCACACATATTAAAAAACAAGTTTCAAAAGATTTCTACTAAGTGGTGAAAGGTATGTGCATATTTCCATTTCTTAATTTTAAACATTTCTTTGCATTGTATGTTGATGATAATACGTAGAGTTAATGATATAGTAGAGAAAATGGAAAATAAAGTACAAACATTTACCTTAAAAATCTTTGATATTCATTTAGGAGGTTCTAGAAATTATGCAAATGAAACGTGAAAACTAAGATAATAAATAGAATTTTTTTACTTCATATAAAAATCATCTTGCAGGTGAACTATTCAGAGTTCAAGTGCAAATAAGTACATTGAATAATGAATTATTTTTATTAGAAATAGTTGACAAAATAAAAATTAAATACTTTATTTTTCTTAAACTACATACTTTTATGAACATTCTTGTCAAAGTTTAAATAATTTCATTCACTAGTTTATTTTTGGAACGAAATATGCCAAGAGTGACGTTACCTTCTAAAAAATTTAGAGGCTGGCAGCCAAAGGATTAAATAGTTAAGCAAAAATTAACATCAAAAGGAAGGACTGCATGAAGAACAGCAAATCCAAACCTGTGATGACTGACATTTTAATGAACAAAACAGGCCCAAACCCAAAACGAAATTGATGACACCGCATAAATTAAAAGGATCCCTAGACTACAGGCTATAATGTGGGATATAAATGTGCTCTGGGTTTTAGAGGTGATTGTTGAAGTAGGACCCACATTGTGGTGAGGATACATTGTCTACCAGTCTCACATGTTTAAAATATAAAAAAAATAATAATAATCAAACAAAATCATAAAAAATAATGTAAGTTAGGAGACCAAGATGCCCCACATCTGTATCACCCTTCACTTAGTGTACAAATACATGTATGATAAATAGGAATGCTAAAGTAAAATCATGTGATCTGATCTGTTTAGTTACATGTTTACATCAGACTATTGAAGTGAGTTGTAAGTAGTATTTTATACTTTTGTAAAAAACTTTGAGAAGATGTTTTGTCACCACAGTTTAGTTTTGTTTTATGCATAAAAGTTTCAAGTTTTTTATTCTGAAGTCACAAGAATTCAAAAATATTTTTTTTTTTGTATATTTGACATATTTATATAAATTTTATTTTTCTAAATAAAGGACTTTCTTTTCAGAGATAGTGATCTAGAAGACTCAACTTGTTTACTCAATTCTAACAGTGGCATTTTTACATCAAAATGTGGTGAAAAGATGGAGTCACTATGTGTAGGTATGACACAGCATTAGTCCAATAAAGATTAGAACTTTGCCGTTAGTTACTTCTGTTGCTGTTATTGTTTGCCTCTTTTAGATCTAGGCCTAGTATGGTTAGCTTTTATAGCTGCCTCCCGTTAGTTACTTCTGTTGCTGTTATTATTTGCCTCTTTTAGATCTAGGCCTAGTATGGTTAGCTTTTATAGCTTCCTCCTTATACATATGTGCACACACACATACATAGTACTGTGCAAATTTATTAGAACACTTCAACAACTGTCATTCTATGAGCTTTCACACAAAATAGTCATTTTGATTTGGGACAGAAAATAACTAATTTTATAGGAAGTTATTATGAAAGTGGTACACAAACAATGTGTTTTAAGTTTCTTTAATGCCAATACTTTTTGTAGCCACCTTTGGCATCTTTGGAGCATTGTGTCTTTGTTCTTTCTTAAAATCTGTGGAATAATGTGTTTCCATTTTCCATAGTACAACATGGAGTTTAGCAAATCCGAGATTTGTATATATGTTAAAGAAAAATTTTTAACATAGGTATACAATTATTAAACAGTTGATCCACTGCATCAAAATATAATAACATTATTCACATACCTAAATTATTTTAGGCTGTTATATGGTAAAATAAATTGGTCTCAAAACCCCATAGAAACCAAAGATTTGTTCTATGGGTTTAATGTCTAGACTTTTTGTGGCCATGCCATTTGCTGTGAATAAGATATAGTGTGGATGCATAGTATACATGGGGATTAAAAAGGTTTGTTTGGTATGGGATGTTATAGAAATGTTTTAAATATTATGGGATTTTATAATGGTTTCTTTAATTACTATGCACTTTTATAGAGTGGTTGTTTAACAGTTTTTTGATGTTATAAGATGGTATTTCAAATCTATTATGGGATGTTATATATATATATAAATGTATAATGTTATGAGATAGAAGCTATTTAGTCTAAACATTTATATTTTTGTGTTATAATGTGTGTTCATTCTAGAACGAAAGATGCATAATTTATATTTATTTTCTACTTTTTTATGTTGATTACGAGATCGGTCAAATCTATCGAACCTATTGAGATTCATTAGTGAAAATAACAGATAAAATATAAAGTTTTTCCTTAAGAAATATTTAATAACTATCTGGACATTGTAAAGATTTTGCATGTTAAATTTGAAAATTTTCTGATGCATAAATATATTTTTAATCTTAAAATGAAAATTACTTTGCATGTTGGATAGGTAACAAGTGAAAAGAAAAAATATATGAGAAAAACATTGCTTACCAAATCTTAAGAATTAATATTTTGCGTATGAAAGTATTGTAATGTTAACTGATAATCTGCCAAATTTCGTTAACGTAAGCTTACTAATTTAAAAGTTATAACATGAAAACTATAACAAGCACAAAATGGTTACGAGGTCGATCCAACGCACCGAGCCCGTTTTGAAAGGGTTAAGGGCAATATTCCAAACTTCTTTGTACTTCAAATTCAAAATATGTATTCCTTAAAGATATCACCATAAGTTGAAAGTAATTCATCGGTACCCACTGTTAAAATCAATACATTGTTTTTTGTTCTATATCATTGATATTTATGTATCGTCATAAAACACCAACACAGTCTAAATGTATTATTTTCAGGTCTCTGCCAATGCATAGGTATTTAGATATAAAAGTTTTTACACATTAAAACCTTTACAGAAGGATGAAATGAAATAAGGATCAAATAAAAACGTTAGCACGAGCTTGACTTGTTACTCCTGAAATGTTGTTATTGCGGCTTCATTACTAAATTACAGTAGGCTCTTGCACAAACAACAGACAAGTTCGTTGTTAAAAAGATAAGTAAAACACAACTTGTTACTCCAGAAAACATAATAGGTTTTATTTAAGCCAACATTTCGCCATTACGGCTTCATCGGGACAAACAAGACACTTGCTAGCTGTGTTAGGCTTATGTCAGTTTGTTTATGCACTACCAGAGTTAGTTGAAGTTTATATAAGGACATGTTATCAATTGTTTATTAGCCGATTCTATACATCACGATAATAGCTATAGTTATTTGAATAGTTTATTGATTTTTTTAGGGCGGACACTTTCAATACATTGAAACAATAATGGGAATTAATTCCGAATTTAGATACTGTTATTTTCCAGTCTTTCACTTTGTTTATTTTTAATTGATAGACGAAGCACGAATTTCTTGAGAAGAACAAGAAAAAAGTCCAAATATTGCCACTCACTCATCAAGGTTGGCGGAAGCGGTAGGACTGATAAAGTTAAAGCCCTACCACCTTTTAGACTAGTGGTCACGTGACTTTAAACCTTTTATTGAACAATACAGCAGAGAATCTTACTACTTATATATAAGCTATATATACACACTTGATGGCTCTACCAGCAAATTGTTGCTTACCCAATAATTTCTAAATATACAGCACAAAAAATTCGTAAAATTTTCTTGGGTATAAAATCATCATCATTTTACTATAAAAAATAAAAAGATTGTATGCTGTAACACCTATAATTATTAATTGAAATTAGGCTTGCTGGTGTTCTATTAGTATAAACGCACATAATTTGGCCAATCCTGTGCAATTGGATGACCATAAACTTAGTTACCATTTTTACAACAGCTTCCATCAAGACTTCTTAATTTTTGATTTATATTCTGTATTCTAGTTGTTTTCACCCTGAATTCTGATATTCTCTTCACTAAAATTTGATCTCCATGAATTCAACAGGTGTGTTTATACAATATTTTTGTAACTGTTGCTATTGTTAAGCGGATTCTTTTCAATTATTTGGTAAAAATGAAGATGAAAATTCTAGTCCTCTTAATGCTACCGATAGCGTTTTATTCCTTAAACTTCAAGTTCTACGAGTTTAGCTAACGAACAAACAAAGGTGAAATGGACAGCAACAACATCCTAGTTCAGAGTGACACTTGTTGATTACTTCCAAGTATCATTGTGAACTAAGCAGTTGCTGCCTGTTTCACCTTTGTTTGTTAATCATGAATACTATGCCTAAATCATCTATAAAACAGCTTAACTAACGTCCGCTGATATAGGTCTATCTTAACAGTAGATGCTAATATAACAATTTCCCTTACTTGCTGACCTCTCTGATATATAAAACTTTTTCGTATTCTTTGTCGAAATTCAAACTCAGTATTCTCACAGATGACTTAAAAGATAATCTGACTAACAAACTCACTCAATAATCAACCCACCAGTGAAACAGACTAGCTAATTAATCTATAATAACAAATCATGTTCTCTAGTGTAACTTGCTTTTTATATGGCTCAAATGAGTCCTGAACTTTAAAAAAAATTTTAGCCATTAGTATGTGATAACTCCCTTTGGCAAACAATAATACAAATATATAAATTTAAAAAAAATGGCCAACTGTATTTCTCCTTCTCTAGATTGTCCCTATTAATAGAAAAATGTAAATTAAACCTAAAGTTTCATAATTAACAATAAAGTAATTCCTCACAGTTAATAACATTAATATTCTCAAATATAGACATCACAATCATTAATTAAATGCATGAAACAAACTACAGTCAAAATTTTGGTTAACAAAAAATATTCTGTTTTTACATTTAGTTTCTTAAACTGTCCAGTCACCAAATCTTTTTCATGATTTTCTTTTTCGTGGTTTATAAGAAGATAAGATAACCTCTTGTCTTACATTAAAACTTGTTGTTTTCAGAGAGAGATTTTTGTTTAGGGATGTAGTCGAGAGAATCCACTGGTGGCTCTGTTCTTGGTGATACTCTGTAAATGATTTCTATATGAACTGGTCCAACATGGCCAGGTGGTTAGGGAGCTCTATTCGCAATCTGCGGGTCGCGGGTTCGAATCCCCGTCCCACCAAACATGCTCGCCCTTTCAGCCGTGGGGGGTGTTATAATGTGATGGTCATCCCATTATTCGTTGGTGAAAGAGTAGCCCAAGAGTTGAAAGTGGGTGGTGATAACTAGCTGCCTTTCCTCTAGTCTTATACTGCTAAATTAGGGACGGCTAGCGCAGATAGCCCTTGTGTAGCTTTGCCCAAAATTCAAAACAAACAAACTATATGAACTTCTGCCTCTTTAGGAGGTTGATTTACCCCTGGAAAAATATTTCCTAAAGCTTACTAGTTGGTTGTTATTCTGCTGAAATACCTGCAAAAATGATCGCAGTTGATGACTTTTATTTAAACCACTTATTTTTATGGATTTTTCTCTGTAGCAATTTATGTAGAACAGTTTAATGACATTGTGATTTTATCTTTATTGTAATTTGAAGTCTAACCCCTAGTGGTGTAATTGTCGTGTAGTGCAAAGGAATTTCCTAGAAACAGAACGTGAACCTGTTTAAAGCTCGTCTAATGTCATATCTGTGTTTCTATTCCCAATATGCACTCTTTCTCTATTTCAATTACTCACACATCATGTATAAAGAAGTTTCTCGTCATGACAATAATTTATAAATTTCTTCTTGCTGGAACTTGATAACCACTTGCTGGTCACATCAATCCATCTTCTTTCTTCATCTCTGTAAGACACTTCTCAGCTTATATTACCACATCAGGTCGAAAATGGTAACCATATAACCAGTGTCAATCATCATGTTATAAGGTTTCCATCAATAAATCAATAGACATGCGGTCTGGTTCTTTCAATGATGCACTCCTCATGTCTGATTGGGCAGATGGGTAATTTCAGGATGTTGTCTCTTTGGCTATTATCAATGGTTGATTAATCACAGTCTTGGATATTATGTCCACACTTTCTAGTAAAAACATATACTCTCTTGCAACTTACTCTTTTATTTTCAAGAAAGTTTTAGTCATTAAGCCACGCCCATTGCATGATGTGAAAACAACCTTAGGTCATCAACAATACAAAAACTTCTAAATTAAAAAAACAAACATAGTCTACAAAAGTATACTATTTTTGAAAAAGATGATTTTCAACAAACTTGGTTGAACGTTAGTCTTATACAGGGTTGAAAGAG